GTTTTCTTATAAATAAAATACCATTATAAGTTTTATTTGAACACCATAAATTCTCCCAACTTCTTGCGCGTTTTTTGTACTTTATATAGTCATCAATTTTACCCAAACCTTTGGAAAGTGATAACATGAAAAAATATTTAATACGAACCATTCTTTTAAGAAATGTTCATAGGAATTAGAACTGAAAAATAATAAAATAAGTAAAATACCTTTAGCAACAAGACTAATACTATAATCATTAGCACTATACTCCAAAGTTCGACTACATTGAGCATTAGCATATCCAGTTTCACCATCATATGGAAAAGGGATATAACCGTATTTCTTATAATCAGTTAAATATAATCGACCTTCGACTAAGCCCATATCCCATGGATCTACCTCCGCATCTTTGATGAGAGCACTGTACGCTAATCCCCAATCTATTTTACCACTGACATCTAGATTCTTTAAGTATGTTTCTGCCTATAATTAAAGAACATTAAAATAATAGAGTGAATGAATAAAACGTATTGAATTTAGTTAATTATTTATACAAATATGTAGTTATATAATTACCACAACCATATCAGCATTAGATCCTCCTTGAGTAATTCCATTCCATGAACCACTTCTTCCATCAGGCATATAATCATCATGTACATAAATATCGACAAGTGAATTAGTAATATCCACAGCACGTTCTGGTTGAAAAAGCGTAAATAATGGATTTGTGGTTCTGTGTAATCGAGCATTATTAGCGAAATGCAATATGTCATAATAATATCCTGGGTACACATACGGACCAGGGTATTATTGATTAATCACCCGCAATATTGATATGGGGTCTTTGCAGTAGAAAGGGTCAAACTCTGATATTAATATATAATTTTTGAGATAATTGGGGATTGTTCCGATAGTAATTATCTGAAAAGCGATTTCCGCCAAGGCAAGTTACGAATTCCTGCACACTTCAAAACTTAAATTCGAAATAGTCACGTGTCCTGAAATACACTATATAACGAATAAGATTTTTAGATCATAACGATAGTAATTAATTAGTATCTTTAAAACATTCTAACTCCCGCTCCAGAAAGCAAATTCAATTCTGCAACTTGAATTTTATTACATGACTTAATTAAAACCAGTTTTAGATAGAATTTGGTCGGAAACTAATACAAATTCCGCTATCTAACCCTAAGTGGAAGGCATAAATTGATATGAAAATATATGTTGCAAATGATATAAAGTATCGTGAAGTTTAAAAACTATGTTGAGAATTTTTAAATTTATTTTGTTAATGTAATTAAAAGTCAAATGTTTTTTAGTTGTGAATTTTAATCGTAAAATATTTACGATTTATAAGTTAATACTACAAAAACTCTAAATATTTACATATAATTCTTAAATTTCGCAACATAGTTTTATAGCCACACTATTTAGATGTCATTTACAAATTGCAGAATTGAATTTGCTTTACTAGGGCGAGAGTTAGAACGTTTTAAATGTAGATTAAATATTATATATATACAGTAATATCAATACAGTATTATTAATTTAAATTTACACCTAAACCGTTCTAACTCTCACACTAGGAAAGCAAATTTAAATCTGCAATTTGTAAATGATATCTAGGTAGTGTGGCTATAAAACTATGTTGCGACATATTTCGGGTTTCTATAGAATAAATTATAAATCGTTAACATTTTACTATTAAAATTCACACATTGGATTTTTTTAATTACATTATGGTGCTTTGCAATAAAGTGTGACACTGTGATTTTTGTGATGATAGTAGTTGGAAATTTCGGAGATTTAGATTTTATATCAATTATATATTTTAATAAATAATTGTATATATTGTTTAAAATCTTTAAAATTTTCAGAGAATCAAAAAATCTGCAATTTCACATAACATCGTGATCTGCAGATGTCACACTTTATTACAAAGCGCCATAACAAAATAAATGTCTCAACATAATTTTAAAACTACACGATTCTAATATCATTTGCAAGCTACAGCTTTACTAGAGCGGGAGTTAGAACGTTTTAAAGATACTAATGAATTACTATGATGATAAAAATGACAAATCTTACATGTGCAATACAATATGTACGTACATACGTATAGATATAGCGCTGCCCTGTAAAATCGCACATCATACAAAGATATTAAATCATACGATGTGACAACACCCCAATCTTAAGTGGTTAAAATATCCGAAATTGATTGGCTAAAACTGTTTTAGACGTTCGATTATCAAGCAAAGACCAATATAGTGATCGGGGATTAATAATAACAATATGATTGTTGAAATTACCTGAATGTGTCCCACTGTGAATTATTAATTGCGTTAATTTCAAAAATCAGCCTTTCTTAACTTATTTTTTTCAGAAACTAGTAAAGGAAATAATAGTAAAAGTAATACCAAAGTATAGAAATCTTCATAATATGGCATAGGATTGCCCTTTTTATCGATTGATTTCCAATTAGGATTCTCACCAGTTCTGAATGACGGTAAGCAATAATAAAAAAGTAAATTTTATTTAGCATTATTATGTTAATAAAAATATTAAATGACAAAAAATTCATTATACCTATCACTAGGAATAATCATTGTTCTATATAAGTTACTATAAAAAGATTCAGTAACATTTATAGTTCCACCTTTAACAAAAATCCTTCCTAATGCTTTATTCCAAATATTAACAGCCTCTTGCCTCGTCTTTTCAAAATTCCAATTTGGTACTTCATTTTCAGCATTTTCACATGCTTGATCATCCGAAATAAATGAGATTCCAACTCTAGAAACAATTACAGGATTTTTAGTTGTATCAAAAGTTAGAATAGCACCAATCTTATCGACGAAAGATACACCTATATAGGATGTTGTGTTTTCGTTGATTCTATCGTTCCACCAAGTCTCATAATTAGTAGCATTGACGTTGAATTGGGAGCAGAAAAAGACTCTATATGGCCCGTCGCTGTTCCAGCCACCTCTATATCGACCTACACCTTTTATTTGATTGTAAGATAAACAAGTGATTGCAGCACTTTCATATCTGGCACTATATTATCAAGTAAATAATACATATTAGAACAGATAATAAATGTTAACATAAAAACAATCGCATTAGTGATATATATAATACAGAAATACCTCAAACCAAAAGATAAAATATGAGCTAAATCAAGAAGAACTTTTGCATTATTTTCAGCAGGCGGAAAAGTATATCGATGAACACCAGTTCTATGACTAGCAGTTAATTCAACCATAATTTGGTAACGTTTTAATCCAAATTTCAAATAACCAGCTTCGAAGTGTTCAAATGATCTTGGAGACTTAAAGTTATTTGGTCGGAACCTATCTTCGGGCCAATCCATCACAGGAAATTGACTTATTACTCCATACTTTGGTTCCCCTAATTTGATTAAGTTATATAGTAGTTAAAAGATTTGTACTTATTTTTTATTTTTTTCA